GAAAATCCCTTCCCATCTTCAGATCACTGTAAGGACCCTGACCATCAGCCACCCTCCAGCTCATGTCCCTCCAATGTGTTTTGGTTTTGTTTTTGAGATGGAGTCTCGCTCTGTCACCCAGGCTGGAGTGCAGTGGTGCAGTCTGGGCTCACACCATGCTCTTGCCTCAGCCTCCCGAGTAGCTGGGACTACAGGCGCCCACCACCACGCCTGGCTAATTTTTTGTATTTTTAGTAGAGACGGGGTTTCACCGTGTTAGCCAGGATGGTCTCAATTTCCTGACTTCATGATCCGCCCGCCTTGGCGTCCCAAAGTGCTGGGATTACAGGCGTGAGCCACCGTGCCCGGCCTCCAGTGTGTTTTTTTATAGTGCAGCCAATCATCTGCCTACAATATCAAGCAGAGGCCATACCTTGTTGCAGGATAAAATCCAAATTCCTTTTCATGGTTTGCGTATATCTCTCCCTGGTCAAGCCTCCTCTCCATCTTACACTGTAGTCTCAAACTTATAACCTCCCAGCCCAGATATTTCCTCTGAGCACCAGATGTGTGTACACAAATGACATCGCTCCGTGGATGTCTCGTAGGCATCAAATTTATTATTTTACTTATTTTGTGAGATGAAGTTTCACTCTTCAGGGTCTTTCTCCCATTGTCTTGATGCATAGTACCTGGCTCCCTTCTAGCCATTTAATCTCTTTAGGAAATTTCCACTTAGCCATACCCTTACTATTCTCTCCCAAACTTACTTTTTCACTCTATATGGCCAAGCTGAGAACTTTCCAGATCTATTCTGCTTCTCTTTTAATTATAAATTCTGTCTTTAAGTCATTTCTTTGCTCTTGCATCTCACTATATGTCATTGAAAGCAGCCATGCGGCAGCCTGAATGCTTTGTTCCTTAACTGCTTCTTTTTGTTTGTTGGTTTGTTTTTGCCGGATATCCTAGTTCATTGCTCCTAAATTCCATAAAGTCCTAGGACACAAACACAAGTCCATCAAGTTATTTTCAACTATGTAACAAGAATGGCCTTTACTCCAGTTTCTAATACCTTGTTCCTCATTTCCATTTGAGACCTCAGCAGAATGGCATTTACTGTCCATATTTCTATCAACATCCTGGTCATGAGCATTTAAGTAATCTCTTAGAAGATTCACACTTTCCCCACGGCTCTTCTCTCCTGAGCCCTCACCAGAATCACCCTTAATGCTCCATTCATGGCAGTGTAGGCTTTTTCTAGCCTGCTCCTTCCAATTTTTCCAGCCTCTACCCATTACCCAGTTCCAGAGTGGCTTCTACATTTTTTACAGGTGTTTGTTATAGCAACAGACCACTACTCAGTACCAGTTTTCTGTCTTAGTCAGTTTTCTGCTGCTATAACAGAATACCATAGACTAGGTAAATTTATAAAGAACAGAAGTTTATTTGGCTCACAGTTCTGGAGGCTGGGATGTCCAAGAGCATAGTGCCAGAGTCTGGCAACAGTCATCCCATGGCACAGAGTGGAAGACGGAAGTGAGCACATGAGACAGAGAGAGGGAATTAGGCAGACCTATCCTTTTTTTGGGGGGCGCGGGGGATGGAATCTTGCTCTGTCGCCCAGGCAGGAGTGCAGTGGTACAATCTCGGCTCACTGCAAACTCCGCCTCTTGGGTTCAAGCGATTCTCTTGCCTTAGCCTCCTGAGTAGCTGGGATTACAGGTGCCCACCAGCACACCTGGCTAATTTTTGTATTTTTAGTAGAGATGGAGTTTCACCATGTTGGTCAGGCTGGTCTTGAACTTCCGACTTCAGGCAATCCACTCACCTCCGCCTCCCAAAGTGCTGGGATTACAGGCGTGAGCCACCGTGTCGATCCAACTCATCCTTTTTATCAGGAATCCATTCCCATGATAACTAACCCACTTCTGCAATAATGGTATTAGTCCATTCATGAGGGCAGATCCCTCATGACATAATCACCTCTTAAAGGTTCCACCTCTTAATATCCCTACAGTGGCAATTAAATTTCAATGAGTTTTGGAGGGGACATTTACACCATAGCAAGGGGTCAGCTAAAAAGTCCTACTTCCGACTGGGTGCAGTGGCTCAAGCCTGTAATCCTAGGCGGATCATGAGGTCAGGAGTTCGAGACCAGCCTGACCAACAATGGTGAAAACCTGTATCTACTAAAAATACAAAAATTAGTTGGGCGTGGTAGCGTATACCTGTAATTCCAGCTACTCAGGAGGCTGAGGCAGGAGAATCGCTTGAACCCGAGAGGTGGAGGTTGTAGTGAGCCAAGATCATGCTACTGCACTCCAGCCTGAGCAACAGAGCTTGATTGCATCTAAAAAAATAAAATCTTACTTCCTGCCCTCATGGAGCCTGTAGTCTTCCCTTTCCTTCTGAAAGCCTCCAACCTCTGTGGGCCAAAAAACTCTTTCAATATAATCTCAGTCCTTTTCAGCTCATCTCTTGAATTGATAAGGCCATGAGTTCAACTGTCCTTCCCCTGAGTGAACTCCCCTTCTTCTGACTGCCCTTGGGATAGATAGAGGTGTTTTAGCCCGGCATGTTAGTCTGGACCTGTCCATCTCTTCAGCCTCATGACCCGTAAAGCATTTACCCTAAACAATATCCAAGGCCCGGAATGCACGGGTTCTGGCACATACTAGTTTGTCTTCCAAGACTCAGAGTCACCTTCTCTGGGAAGTCTTCCCTGATTCTCCCAGGCAACGTCAGTCTGAACTTACACTCTGCTTTTCCAGGTCTGTTTCCCCACAAAGACAAGGAGACAGTGTCAGTGTCTTACTCATCTTGGCATCTCTAGCACATGATGCTTAAGAGGTGTCAATGAATGCGGAATGATCTCATTTCCCAAGTCCCATGAACCCCCTAATGCACTGTTGTTTTGTCAGTTTCATGAATTATTTTTCACAAGAACCCCAGTCATTTTTCTAGCCCTTAATGGCAGGCAGGCCGGCTGCTTATTTCTTTGCATCCCCCAGACAGTAATCAATGTGAACTCCACACTGACCTTGTGGCTGCGGCCTGCCCCCTGCTGGTCAGAAGGTTTCTAGGACAGAGACAACTCAAGGCTGGAGAAACAGGGGTTCTAAATCATTTTTTGTGCCATGGACTCCTTTGGCATTCCACAAAGAATATAAATCTCTTCTCAGAATAACATATATTTTTTGAGACGAGTCTTGCTCTGTCGCCCAGGCTTGAGTGCAGTGGCACTATCTTGGCTCACTGCAACCTCTGCCTCCCGGGTTCAAGCGATTCTTGTGCCTCAGCCTCCCAAGTAGCTGGGAATACAGGTGCACCGCCATGCCTGGCAAATTTTTGTATTTTTAGTAGAGACGGGGTTTCACCATGTCAGCCAGGCTGGTCTCAAACTCCTGACCTCAAGTGATCTGCCGGACTCGGCCTCCCAAAGTGCTAGGATTACAGGCTTGAGCCACTGCGCCTGGTGGCTTCTCAGAATGATATTTTCAAGTGTGCAATATAAAGCACATAGATTACAAATGAAACCAATCATATGGAGTACAGGTAACAAAATACTGGAAAACCTGTATATACTATGTATGTGATATATATGCTCATGTAATGTGATCTATGGATGTATATACACATATGCACATTAAATAACAAGATCTAGTAATAGGTCTAATAACTACTGTAATTTCAAAGTGACAAAAATATTTTGAGATCTCTACAACAGCTGCAAGGTGCTATGAAATATCTGGGATTTCTATTGGTGACAGTCACAGCTACTGCTACTACTACTAGAGTTTGTTGGCTACATCCATAATGAAAGGAAATGCTTAATTTCAGTTAGAGGATAGTAAAACTAAAGACCAAATTTTTTGCCATCCAAATACCAAGACACCCTGAATTCTACATATGGATCTGTTGTGGGGAGAGTCTATGGACCCAAAGTTAAGAAAGCCTGAATTGTGTTTCAGAGGCATGGCAGACAGATTAAATACGGCAGGGATGGCTAGTGGCTAGGTGTCTGTATGACCCTTGATTCGTTCAAGTGGCAGTTGAGTGAGACACAGGAGGTCTGCCAGAAACACCTCCGGCAGAAGGTCCAAGTTTGAATCCCATAGGCATCACTTACCAGGGTTTTGAGAACTGGCTTGACCCTTCCCTTTGCCTAGTGCCCGTTTCCTCATCTGTAAAATGAGAATGAGCCTGGTGTGGTGTATGGTGGCTCACACCTGTAATTCCAGCTGTTTGGGAGGCTGAAGCAGGAGGATTGCTTGAGGCCGGGAGTTTCAGACCAGCCTGGGCAACACAGTGATCTCCCCCGCCCTGTCGCCTGTCTCCACAAAAAGTTAGCCAGGCACCGTGGCTCAGGCCTGTAATCCTAGCTACTCAGGAGGCTAAGGTGGGAGGAGCGTCTGAGCCCAAGAGTTTGAGGTTACAGTGAACCATGATCACGTCACTGCACTCCAGCCTGGGCGACAGGGAGACCCTGTCTCTAAAAAAGTAATAAATACATAAAATGGGAATGATGGTGTCTTCCTCCGATTGTTGAAAGGATTCAGTACATTAACAGGTGAAAACTTTTTGGGGTCAATGTTTGTTGTTAAAGAAGAATGATATTAAATGTCTGTAGAGAACATGCCCCATGACACACTCTCCCTCAGCCAAGCATAATGTCTTTCCAAAGAGAAACCCGACGTCTGAGCCGCCGTTGACCTGGGAGGCCCCTGTGTACTTGGAGGATAAGCCCTTTCTTGCCGGGTGAATATGGCTAAGTGTGCCCCGCTTTCCACCCCAATCCAAAAGAACAACCCGAACGGCAGATAACCTTGTTACTTTATTAGAAGCATATTTACATTCTTGTAGTTAACTTTCCAGAGAACGTTTTATAAAAATTTTGTATAAAGTCTGGAAACTACATAAAAATAATTTCATCTGTCATAAAGGGAAAATATAAGTTAGTTACATTTACTCTAAAACCAGACAGAGAAAAAAAAAACCAGTTCTGTCTGTCCCTTATACAGAAAACACTAACACGGGGCACGAGGAATACTACGTGGGCCTCTCGGAGATGGGCATTGCACGGTGGCTCCATTGTGAGGCTAGGTGACCCCACCAGTCCCCATCCAGAAAAGCACAGGGGCGCTCTGAGGGCTCAGGCGGCACTGAGCAGGGACGCAGCAACTCCTTGAAGGGCGAAGGTGATGCGAAGGACAAGACACAAGAGGAATGATCACAGACTTTCACCTGAACCATGAAACTGGCATTTCACCTAACACTTTCTCACATGCCAGGCTACAAACAGAAACACTGTAAGCAAAGCCCAAAGCAGCCCTGTCTGACGGTTTCCAATGCCGGCCTGGTCTGGTAGAACTAGGTCTATGTTCTGCAGTTACACTGCTGCTAGTTCATGTTTCCCCAGCACCTGTGCACCAAAGAGACTAAAAGGAGACAATTGTTTTGCTTGTCTCATTCGTGAGAGACCTGAAAAATGTCCTATCTGGGTCAAATTCTGCAGTAGGCAAGTAAAATGCTCACTAACCTGAGAACCATTGCTAGTTCCAAGAGCATCTTTACTGCATAGTTAAGATTTGGGCAGTCCCCTTTTCCTGTTGAAGGGGGGCTGCCCCTCCCTTCCCAAGCATCTAGTTATAACCAATGTTGAGAAAATGTCCAGGGAATTGCTTTAGACAGACAGAGTATACGGAACCTTAACCTAGCTGGGCGCAGTGGCACGTGTCTGTCGTCCCAGCTACTCTTGAGGTTGAAGGGGGGGAATCAGTTGAGCCACGAGTTTGAGATCAACCTGGGCAACATATGAGAGACCCTGTCTCAAAGAATTTTTTTTTTTTTTTTTTTTTTTTTGAGACAGTCTCGCTCTGTCACCCAGGCTGGAGTGCAGTGGCATGATCTTGGCTTACTGCAACCTCTGCCTCCTGGGTTCAAGCAGTTCTCCTATCTCAGCCTCCTGAGTAGCTGGGATTACAGGCATGCATCACCACGCCTGGCTAAAAATACAAAAATAATTTTGTATTTTTAGCAGAGACAGGGTTTCGCCATGTTGGCCAGGCTAGTCTCGAACTCCTAACCTCAGGTTAGCCACCATGCCTGGCTTAAAAAGAATCTTAAACCTGTAGGAGCGAAGGCGGAAAAAGTCCTCCCAGGGAGTCTCAACCACTCTACCACCAGCAAAACACTACCTGGATTCAATATGCCCATATGATTACTCCAAATCATTACCAGTTTTGTGTTTTGTTTTGTTTTGTTTTAAAGCAGATATCTTCCTGGAGAAATCATCCATTTTACAGCCGTTTCAATGAAACAATTAGAAATCAGGGTGAAAAAAGGTTTTCTTTGTAAGTAAGGCCGCATACTAGTTCAAACATTTGCTTTTATTTCGTTATATACACTCTGTAGCCGTAGGATCAGAATCTGGGGGAAGCCAGCTGAGAACCTGAAGTCCCAGGGGTCCATCTGAGGTACAGAACCTGTGCTTCCGCCATGTTCCTGGGGCAGGGGCATTCCATTTCCCCCTGACGCTTTTTCTTCCTGAAGAGAAGTCCAAGAGACTGCCAGTCCAGGTCTGAAATGCAAGGTGGGACTCCTGAACACAGTCGGGGGGACGGAGCAGAGGGCAACAGCCCTCCTGTTTCACCTGCAGACAGGGTGGGCAAGAGTGCTATGGAGAGACTGGGCTGTGGAAGCCTTGTGTGCTGAGGAATTAGTCCCTGAACACAGGAGCCTGTGCGGGGCCAGCATGAATCGCAGCCTGGCAGTACAGCCTGTGCTTCTCCGTGCCTCCGGTGCCAACACCCCGCATGCGCCACACCAACTGCTCCACCTAACATGCTCAGTGGCACAGGCTCAGGCAGCAAACGTGTTCCAACCCACCTGGGCAGAAGAGGCCAGGCCAGCAGACCAAGTCCTGTGTGCATGTATGCATGTGTGTACGTTCACACACACGTGCAGGAAGGGGGACACGAGACGGCATGAAACACTGGAGAAGCAGAAGAAACATTTCAGCCGCCCTCTCCCCGGTCCCCGCCCCCCACATAGACATGGCCTTGTCTTAAGTGGAAAGCAAACTGGGAGAACAGGAAGAATGAGGCCATCTCCTGAGCAGCCAGCTGCAGGCCAGGCTCCACTGGGAACAGAAATGGCTATGAGGGACTTGATTCAGTGACTCTCCAGGGAATGGCTGCAGAGAATTCCAGCCCGGATGAGCCCATGGAGACTTACTTCATCAGCAGTGCTTTGTTCCCACACAGAGCAAAACTGGTATTTTGGCAAACAGGAGAGGACTCAAGGCCACAGAACACCCATTCCTCCTGGACGCTGACCCCACCAGCAGCCCCATCCCTTCCAGCTTGAAGGGATCTGGGGCTCAAGGAGAACATACATTAGGGTCATCATTACACCTCACCCTCCACAGGCCAGCGAGAAGTCAGGAACACTGGGGCGGGTCTATCGGGCACAGCTGGGATGGCACAGGGCGAGGGGCTGGATTTGAGCTGGCACAGATGCAAGAGGGAAAAGGAGTCCTGAGTTACATGTTCACAGAGAATGAAGGAGAAGGCCCTGGGGCCCACCAAGCTTCCAGCCACAGCCCCGGGCGGTTGTTAAGAAGCATCCGCAGAATTGTAGGGGAAGAACTTGGCGGCCTTGCTTGGGGTGGTGGGGTTTGGGCACTCCGCCTCCTCGCTCAGCTTGAAGAACATCTCCTGCTCCCGCTTCTTCTGGTTCAGATCCTCTTCCAGAGCCTAGGGAAGAGAGGACGGATGGCGCCTGGTCAGATCTGCAGGCCACACAAGGGTCCCCCACTCACAGGACCCCCACTGACGTGGCCCTCTCTGGAACATTCCCTTCCAGGCCTCACTGCTTGAGAAACCAGGTCATCCCTCTTTCCTACCCTAGAGCTCCTGCCACTGCCACTCAGAAGCTCCCTGTGGACCGAAGGGTACAGTTGGGGGAAATGCCAATCTAGATGGGGCAGGGAGGAAAAAAGCAGATGCAAATCTCCTGGCAGGGAAACAGCCAGATGACTGGAGAAAAACCCGAGAGAGAAGAGGGAGAGCGATTTAGCAGCAAAGGAAGCAGAGATGTCAGAGTTTTGCTTTTCTTTTTTTTGTTGTTGTTTTTTTAAATATACATTTGCTTTTGCCTAAACCCAGAGGTTCTGATTTTGAAGATTTGTGGTGGGACCCAGGGCTTCTGCACTGTACAAAGTCTTCAGGTAACTCAGAGGAGAACTCCAGTTGAAAAGCACTGCGGGAGGTTCCCTTCAGCACAAGCTTATCTAGGTACATTGGATCCTACTAGAAATATTTTTCTTTTCTTTTTTTTTGAAATAGAGTTAAGCTCTGTCACCCAGGATGGAGTGCAGTGGTTCACTGCAAATTCAGCCTCACATGTTCAAGTGATTCTCCTGCCTCAGCCTCCCCAGTAGCTGGGATTACAGGCACCCACCACCATGACTGGCTAATTTTTGTATTTTTAGTAGGGAAAGGGTTTCACCATGTTGGCCAGGCTGGTCTTGAACTCCTGACTTCAGGTGATCCACCCACCTTGGCCTCCCACACAACAGATTACAGGCTTGAGCCACCGTGCCCAGCACAGAAAAATTTCTTTTCTTTTTTTTTGAGACGAAGTCTCATTCTGTTGCCCAGGCTGGAGTGCAGTGGTGCGATCTCGGCTCACTGCAACCTCCACCTCCCATGTTCAAGTGATTCTCCTACCTCAGCCTCCCGAGTAGCCGGGATTATAGGCATGTGTCACCACACCTGGCTAATTTTTGTATTTTTAGTAGAGATAGGGTTTCACCATGTTGGTCAGGCTGGTCTCAAACTCCTGACCTCAGGAAATCCACCCACCTCGGCCTCCCAAAGTGCTGGGATTACAAGCGTCAGCCACCACGCCTGGACCTGAGCAATTTCTTAAGGGCTCTCCAATAATAAGCATTCAAGTAAGAAAGGACGCCAACCGCAGCGGAAAGAACATGGGCTTGGTGGTCAGACGACGTTGCCAGAGCTCCAGGATTTTCTTTTTTTCGTTTTTTTTTTTTTGAGACAGAGTCTCGCTCTGCCGCCCAGGCTGGAGTGCAGTGGTGCAATCTTGGCTCACTGCAAGCTCCGCCTCCCGGGTTCACACCATTCTCCTGCCTCAGCCTCCCGAATAGCTGGGACTACAGGCGCCTGCCACCATGCCCTGCTAATTTTTTTGTATTTTTAGTAGAGAAGGGATTTTGCCATGTTAGCCAGGATGGTCTCGATCTCCTGATCTCGTGATCCGTCTGCCTCGGCCTCCCAAAGTGCTGGGATTACAGGCGTGAGCCACCGTGCCTGGCCTAGGATTTTCTAAAGAAACTGGAAATCAAGATTTTAATGTAAAATCTCCTTATATACTTAAAAGTGGGAATCTTTTAAAAAATTTATAGGCCAGGCATGGTGGCTCATGCCTGTAATCCCAGCACTTTGGGAGGCCAAGGCAGGCGGATCACCTGAGGTCAGGAGTTCAAGACCAGCCTGGCCAACATGGCGAACTCCATCTCTACCAAAAACACAAAAGCTAGCCAGGCCTGGTGGTGTGTGCCTATAATCCCAGCTACTTGGGAGGCTGAGGCAGGAGAATCACTTGAGGGGAGGTGGAAGTTGCAGTGAGACGAGATCGTGCCACTGCACTCCAGCCTGGGTGACAGAGCAAGACTCTGTCTCAAAAAAAATTTTTTTTTTTACATCACTATGTTGGTTGGCCAAACATACCATGCCTGTAAGCCAATTCCAGCACATAGGCTATCAGTTTGGGACCTTTGCTCTAGGAGTACCAACAATTTAATAATAATAGCTGCTACTTTTTGAGCACAGAATGGTTTAGTAACTTGCCCAAGGTCTCACAACTAGTAATGGAGGAGTTAGGACTTCATCCCACCTGTGTGACTCTAAAGCCTGGGCTGTTTAAGCATTACTCTGTTCTACCCCCCAACATATATTTCTCAATACAACCTTCTAAGGCTAGAGTCAGCAATCTTTTTTCTGTTATGTGACAGATAGTAAACATTCTTGGCATTGCATGACACATTTGGTCTCTATTGTGACTACTCAACTGCCACTGTAGTACAAAATCAGCCACAGACAATCTGTAAATGAACGAGCATGGCTGTGTTCCAATAAAACTTTATTTACAAATACAAGTGGTGGGCCAGATTAGGACATTGGCAGTAGTTTGCTAACATCTACTTTAAGGAAATAAGTATCTACATTTTACAGCCCAAAAAGCCAGAGTTCAGGAGGGAAGATTTGACTCGTTTGGGCCACATTCTGTGTTAACACTGACCCAAGCAACACTTTATTGACTCTATCAGATATTCCGTACTTACTTGAAATACATCTGATTTTTTCTAAAAATACTCCACAATGTACAATCATCTCCCTGCCTCCATACAAGGCAGGGGGTTCACAGGCTGCTGACTGTAATGCAAGAACGTAAAAGACCATTTATTCTTGAATGAAAATCATCACCTCCGGGTCACTGTTCCAGCAGAAACCCAAGTAGCTAATAACAGAAGAATTCTATAAAGAATTCTGCAAAGAGGTAGCCCCCACAGGCAAAGTCCAACGCCAGCTTCCCAAATGCACACTTGTGGTGCCTCCCCCGAGCCCAGGCCCCTCTTTGAAGCGATCTGAGACATAAGGCAATAGCTAGAGGCAACGTGATCATTCATTTTCAAACTCTCAGCATATGCCAAGGGTATAGAATCCCCAGATAAGATAACCAGGTGAACGTTTATTTCCTGATTGCAGAACCAACCTATGTCAGCAGGAACATTATTGATTTGAGTGTCAAGTATTGAAAGTCTCAGCAGAACATGGTTACAGAAACTGATGAGCGTGGGCCTGCTAACAGGAAGTCTGGGCCCTGGCCAGCTTCCAGCCACAAAGCTCCATTAGCGCAGCGAGGGAGGCCTCAATTCAAGGACTCCCAAGGCCATTATACAGATGAGATGGGTAGCTGCCTCCTGTGCAGACCACAGTTACAGTAAGCAGAACTGATGTACGATGGCAGAACGAACCTCAGGACTTCAGGACCCGTGGGCATGAGATTAAGGTAACCTGGGCAGCTCTCTCTTCAGAGAGTTTAGGGGGATGAGTATGTTCTTGGTCTGTACTATGTACTGGCGACTTCTGGCATAGCATTGCAGTATCGATAGCTTCACTGTACAAACAACCACAATGAGGACCCATGTTTGTTTGTTTTTTGATGGAGTCTTGCTCTGTCTCCCAGGCTGGAGTGCAGTGATGCGATCTTGGCTCACTGCAATCTCTGCCTCCTGGCTTCAAGCAATTGTCCTGCCTCAGCCTCCCATGTAGCTGGGATTACAGGCTTGTGCCACTGTGCCCGACTAATTTCCGTGATGGTTAATTTTATGTGTCAACTTGGCAAGGCCATGGTATCTATCTACCTGTTTGGTCAAACACCAGACTAGATGTCACTATGAAGGTATTTTATAGATGTGATTAGCATTTAAATCAGTAAACACTGAGTAAAGCAAACTACCTTTCATGATGTGGGTGGGACTCAATCAGTTGAAGGCCTTCAGAGAAAAGAGAGAAGGAATTCTTCCTCTAGACAGCAACAACAACTGGGTCTCCAGCCTGCTGACCTGTCCTGCAGATTCCAGACTCACCAGCCCCCACAATCATGTGAGCCAGTTCCTTAAAATAACTAAATCAATTTCCCTCTCCCTCTCCCTCCACACACACACACACACACACACACACACACACACGCACGCACCCTCTCTCTATATTGGTTCTGTTTCTCTAGAGAATCCAGACTCATACAGGCCCAGAGCGGGGACGATCGCTTGCCCAAGATCCCAAAGCTGGTGACCGGCAAGAACGTCTAGAGTGCCAGCTAGAGAGGAAATGGACGAATTCCCCCCACCTCTGATACCATCCTAATCCAAGCTGCCCTCATTTCTCACCAAGGTTATCACAATAGTTTCCTTACTGGTCTCTCTTCCTCCACTCTTGAGCCCTGAGGGAAGCCAGTGGGATCCTTTTCAAAACACGAGTCAGACCCCCCCGTCCTCTGCTCAGAACCCTCTAGTGGCTCCCATCTCACACAGAGTAAAAGCCAGGCTTTACATAGGTCCCCCCACCCCTCTGACTTTGCCTCCTGTCGCCTCCCACCATCACCACCACTCTCTGGCGCAGGGGCCTCCTTGTTTCACAAGCAAGGTGTCCAGGCCTTTGCAGCTGCTCTTCCCTGTGCTGGGAATGTCCCCCCGAAACCCCCCACAGCTGCACAGCTCCCTCCCTCAGGTCCTTCAGATCTGGGCTCAGATGTCTTCTTAGATGACATCTTCCTGCCACACTGTCTGAAGCAGCTCCACTTTGTGACCGCCCCCCATGCTGTTTCCCTCCCTGCTTCCTGGCCCCTCACTAGAAGGTCGGTTCTTCCTGAGGGCAGGGACTTGTCCCTTTTGTTCAATGCAGTGTCTGAAACTGTGTGGGGCACTGAGCAGGCGCTCAAGAAATACGTGTTGCATTAATACACAAATGAATGAACAAATGAATGAATGATCAAGCTAAGGATGGCACACAAATGCAATCCCACGTGGTAAGTGCCATGACAGGGGCAAGGACGGGGAGCCCAGAAGAGACAGCATATAGCCTCCGTGGGGAAGGCCTGAATAATGAAGACACACAGAAGTTGGCCAAGCAAAGGCTGGTGGGTAGAGAATTCCTGGCAAGGGGAACAGGCTGGGCAAAAGCCCAGCAGAGAACGAGGGAAGCGCAGATGGTATGGAGATCTATTTGGGTACCGAAATCTGTTCAGAGCACAAGTCGGGGATGAGACTCACAGGAGATAAGGCAAGAACAGTAGTTCTCAAAGTGTGGTCCATGAACCCCTAGGGGGCCCAGAACACTTTCTGGGGGTGGGGAAGGGGCAGCAAGCTCTAGTTTCCTACTGAGACACAGTTTGCTTTTTCAGTGTTTTGATATTTGTGCTAATGGTACAAAAGCAATGATGGGTAAAACTTCTGGAGCTTCTGGAGGATTCAGACAATGGCCCCTCCAAACTGAATGAGTATTCTTCACCACCGTGCACTCACAGTGTTTATTTTTATTTTTATTTTTTTGAGATGGAGTTTCACTCTTTCGCCCAGGCTGGAGTGAAGTGGTGGTGAGATCTTGGCTCACTGCAACTTCTGCCTGCCGGGTTCAAGTGATTCTTCTGCCTCAGCCTCCAGAGCAGCTGGGATTACAGGTATGCACCACCACACCTGGCTAATTTTTGTATTTTTAGTAGAGACGGGGTTTTGCCATGTTGGCCAGGCTGGTCTCGAACTCCTGACCTCAGGTGATCCACCCGCCTTGGCCTCCCAAAGTGCTGGGATTACAGGTGTGAGCCACCATGCCAGGCCCACTCACAGTATTTTAGAAAGTTTTTCAATTAAAACAATAAAGCCAACTGCACTTAAAATCACCTTGAACACAAATGGTTCACTTTATTAAATCCTGACCTTCAAGGTCACTGCCCTTTAACGTCCTGTGTGAGGAAATGAGAACTATGCATAAGGCATGCCTGCTGCCCATGAAAGCATGATGGCTGCCTAGAGATCTTGTTCTTGTGCCCGATCTTGTTCTTGTGCAATTGTCTTGAGTTGTGGGCTGAACTAGCCACTTTATTTTGCAGAATATCATTTTTACTAAAAAACAACTGACAACTGGGCATGGTGGCATGCGTCTATAGTTCCAGCTACTTGGGAGGCTGGGACAGGAGAACTGCTTGAGCCCAGGCAGTCGAAACCAGCCTGGACAACATAGCAAGACCCATACTCTCTTAAAAATGAACAAACTGAGCTGATCACTTCAAAGGAAACAAACTAAAGATATTTATTGCCAATGACAAAATTTGAGCATTCAAGCAAAAATGAAAACTTTGGAAAACATGTGTCCACCAGCCTGAACATGACAGCTTCTCAATTTTTTTTTTTTTTTCTTTTTGACAGGGTCTCAATCTGTCACCCAAACCGGAGTGCAGTGGTACAATCATGGTTCACTGCAGCCTTGACTTCCTGGCCTCAAGTGATCCTCCCATCTCAGGTTCCAGAGTATCTGGGACTACAGGCATGTGCCACTGTGCCCAGCTAATTTTTGTATTTTTTGTAGAGATGAGATTTCACCATGTTGCCCAGGCTGGTCTCAAACTCCTGGGCTCACACCTGTAATCCCAGCACTTTAGGAGTGGTGGTGGGCGCCTGTAATCCCAGCTACTCAGGAAGGCTGAGGCAGGAGAATCGCTTGAACCTAGGAGGTGGAGGTTGCAGTGAGCCGAGACAGCGCCACTCTGTCTCAAAAAAAAAAAAAATCCACTGCTCTATCTTGCACTTGGATGTAACTTTGCCCCACCCATGATCCTGTAACATCATGCACTGGTCACTTAGAAAATATTGGTTTACTGTGTTATGCAGATCTTCCAAAAGTTGACATATTACACAATATTTTTAAAAAATTATATCCGCCAGGCACAGTAGTGCACACCTGTAGTCCCAGCTACTCAGGAAGCGGAGGCAGGAGAATCACTTGAACCCAGGAGGCACAGGTTGCAGACAGCCAAGTTCCCGCGCCTGTAATCCCAGCACTTTGGGAGGCTGAGGCAGGTGGATCACTTGAGGTCAGGAGTTCAAGACCAGCCTGGACAACATGATGAAACCCCATCTCTACTAAAAATAGAAAAACTAGCCAGGCATAGTGGCATGTGCCTGTAATCACAGCTACTCAGGAGGCTGAGGCAGGAAAATCATTTGAACCCAGGAGGCAGAGGTTGCAGTGAGCCTAGATCACGCCACTGCACTCCAGCCTCGGGCGACAGAGTGAAACTCTATCTCTAAAATAAAAAATAAAATAAAGAAATCAACAGATGGGTCAGGAGGGACGTTGCAGAGGGGCCAGTGACAGAGAAGAAACTCAGCAGAACGTGGGCCTAGAAGGACAAGGCAGGCGAGGAAGAGAATGACTGTAGCACTGACTGCCACCAGGAGGTCAAGTCCAGCAAGTCATATCCATGGGAGTCAGCCACCAGGATGCTGCTACTGACCTTGCCAGGAGAGGCTGCAGTGGGCTGAGAAAGGAATTTCTCAGTGGGCAGAGGAAGAAATTGTGAGAGGGCTTCACAGAAAGGAGAGAGAGTGACAGGGCAGTAAAGAAAGATGTGGGACTGAGCGAGGGCATGGGTTTTGAAGGTGAAAGTATGGCAGGCACAATTCAAAAATGACCCCCATGACTCTCCTATAACTCTCCCCGCTCCTCTGAGTGTGGGTGGAACCTCTGAATGTGGTATCATTCCTGCAAGCAGGGAGGCTATCCCGTGACCCGCATTTAATCACATGAGCACAAAAGGGTTTTCTGCTGGTGGCAGAAGGGGATATCAGAGACATTCAAACATTCAAAGCACAAGAAGGTCTGAATGCACGCTTGCTATTTGGAGGTGGAAGAGGCCACGTGATAAGGAATGCTGGTGGCCTCTAGAAAATAAAGTAACCCCTGTCCGAGGTCAGCAAGGAAACAGGGACCTCAGGCCTACAGCCACAAGGAACTGGATTCTGTCGAAAGCTGAGCGGGTTTGGAAGTGATTCTTCCCCAGAAACTTCAGCTAAGAGCCCAGCCACGCTGAAAACGTTGATTGCAGCCTGGTGAGACCCTGCGCAGAGAACCCCGGTGAGCCCACCCAGACTCTTGAACTCCACCACTAGGAGGGAGTGAACGGGTGTCGGTTTAAGCTGCTTAGTGTGCGGCAGTTCATCACACAGCAACAGAAAACTAAATTGGCAAGTATTCTATCTGGTGCTGGGTTCTGACTTCTGAGAATAACTTCCTCTGAGAGAAAATCCCCACAGGCTGGGCTCTGGCCCAGCAGCATGGCTGGCTTGACTCACTGCAGCGTGCTCTGTGGACACCACATGGCAGGAGTACTCTGGTCCACGAGAGGGAGCTAAACAAGACGCTGCCCTTCCATAGCTGGAAGCTGCAGGGTGTTTAGCCATGAAGGGTTAGAAAGTTCCTCTCTCTCAGGCTGGAGATCCATTTGACGGTGCCACAAAGCAAGAGTCCACCAAAATAACGAGACCTAACATGTCCTGGCCAGAGGCCTGTGCATGGCACAGAGCAGAGCCCGAGACCGAGCCCACCAGCTCGGACAAGGTTACCTTCTTGCGCGGCCGAAGCTTGTCCCGCCATTCCTTCAGGTTCTGATTATGGCTCTCATCCAGCGCCTTCAGCTTCTGGGTCTCGTGCTCTACCAGGAGGTGGCACTTTTCATTCTGGAACAAATTCCAGGCAGAACAGGTGAGAAATCAGAAGACACAGGCCCTGAAGACTGAGACACACCTCATGCTGTGGCCACGAGGGCACCAGCATCGTTCATTTATTATTTCTTCTTCTTGACTATAAATCCCATTTATTCAAACTCTATATGTAAATCACATGCACCAAGAAGTGCCTGGAGGAACAGTCCAGAATATGTTAACAGTTCTTATTAACTCTGTGGTGGGGATGTGTGGTAAATTTGCAACTTTCTGTGAGGATATAGCAAGAAGGCAGCTGTCTGCAAGCCAGGAAGGGAGCCCTCACCAGAACCCAACCATGCTGGCGCCCTGATCTCAGACTTCCAGCCCCCAGAACTGTGAGAAAGAAGTTTCTGTTGCTTAAGCATCATGGTACTTTGTTATGGCAGCCTGAGCTAAGATACTCTGTATGTATCACATAGAATTTCCTCAGGGAAATCTGTGGCAAGGAATGAGGGTCACTGACATGGGTGAGACTCTTCCAACCTCACTGTTCTTTCTCTGAGGTAAGTTATCTGCTTTATAAAATGTAAATCTCTCTCATAGGCAGCAGTGACAAGTCCCTGTTGATTTCTTGCAGAGAATCAGTCTTCTCATGAGGAGCTTATAAAGCAGGGGGAAAATGCCTTTATCCAGATACCACGACCCTACTGGGTTGGGAAAGTAGAATCCTTTGGGCGATTTTCATTTTGGGTTTCATGCTAGAGGCTTCTGGGAGTTGAGAACTTGGCTGAGTGAGAAGTAATACTCGCAGCAGCGCTGAGTTCCTGTGGCCTGCCAGGAGCTGTGCTCGGCACTTCATATGGGCTCTCCCAGTGCTCACAGAAACCCGAGGCAGGGATAGGAAAACAGATGCAGAAGGTGAATGGCTTGGTCAAAAGTCACACAGTGACAATCAGCAGAGCCCTGCCGGGCAGGCCTCAACACCTGGAATGTTTCCTCCACGCCTCCCTGCCTCTCCAGAAAACGCCCGATGAGTCCAACAGCCTGAGCAGTTCCTGAGGTTCGAATCGGCCCTGGCCCAAGGGGGCTTCAAGTACCAGCTCCTGGGGCCAGGACCCTCAAGCGTGGGCCAAACCCAGGGGCCAGGAAGCCTGAAGAGGTCAGGAATTACCACAGGAAAAGCAGCCCACAAGGGGCTTGGCCACACCCCGACCACCTTTGCCCAAAACACAGTGATGATGCGGAAACCCTGCAGCAGCCCACTGCCAGCTCCGCCGCTTCCCTCACAAGCCCTTGCCCCAGTCCTGTAAGCAGGAAGGGTCATCCCCACATCCATTTCAGGGCTGTGAGAGCTTTGGCTTAGGAGGGTCATGTGATTTGGCCAACCTCACACAGCTCTACAGCAGCATGGCAGGACTGGAACCTGTCCACCCCGGGCCTGTCTGACAAAGACTGTTCCCAGCTGTGGAGTTTCTGGCCCCCTGAGAGCTGATGGCCTTGGGGAAACTGAGGCAGCCTGGGGCAGGGGCAGGCAGGGCGGTACCTGCAGCTGCTGCAGCTCGCTCATATTGCTCTCGCACTGCGCCAGCATGTCCCGCATCTGGTTCTCGTGTTTCTGCTGTTGCTGCAGCCGCTCCGACTTCTGCCTCTTCTCCTCCTGCTGGGAGAACTGCACCAGAGGGAGGGTGGGTGCCTCAGAGGGCCAGGGCCTGGCTGGTTGGGTAGGGAACCCACCTCAGCCCTGGCCCAGGGAGACCCCTCAGGGGTACTGGTCTGTGTACCCAGCACCCAGTACCCAGCACCACCTGTGCCCGTGCTAAGTCCTCACCCTGAGCTGAGACCCAGCCCCTGCCCTCAAGGAGCCCCCAGGCTGGTGGGGACACGACACTGTAATTGACACATGCCAGGAAAGTGTGTGTACCAGGCAGGAATCACAAGGGCCCATGTGCCCGAGCCACAAGGGCAACACAGGATGTGGGGAAGCTGGCCAAATACAAGTGTGGGAGTGCGGAAGGGAAGGGCGCGGGAGAATCAGCAACACAGCACCAAGCTCCCTCTGTCCACACACCGAGGTGAATTCACCATGAGGCTGACGAAGCTTCCAGGGCACGCCTGGCGACACACACACCCCCTCCCAAGACCTTATGGAGAGCAGGTCGGGGTGCATTTTTCTTTTTTTTTTAAGATAGAGTCTCGCTCTGTCGCTCAGGCTACAGTGCAATGGTGCAATCTCGGCTCACTGCAGCCTTCCAAGCCGTTCTCCTCCCTCAGCCTCCTGAGTAGCTGGGATTACAGGCATGTGCCACCATGCCCAGCTAGTTTTTATATTTAGTAGAGACAGGGTTTCACCATGTTGGCCAGACGGGTCTTGAACTCCTGCACTCAGGGGATCCCCCTGCCTCAGCCTCCCAAAGTGCTGGGTTTACAGGCATGAGTCACTGCACCCAGCCTTTTTATTTTGAGACAGAGTCTTGCTCTGTTGCCCAGGCTGGAGTGCAGTGGCTCAATCTCGGTTCACTGCAACCTCCGCCTCCCAGGCTCAAGCGATTCTCCCATCTCGGCCTTCCAAGTAGCCAACACACCTGGCTATTATTATTATTATTATTATTATTATTTGTAGAGATGGGGTTTTGCTATGTTGCCCGGGCTGGTCTCAAACACCTGGGCTCAAGTGACCCACTCACCTCGGCCTCTCAAAGTGTTGGGTTTACAGATGTGAGCCAGCCTGCATCTTGTTTCATATTCTCCAAAATCGTGTAAGGCCCAGGCCCCACCAAACCTGGCCCTGCCTGCACTCCAGCACACTGGCAGACCCCGCAGGCCCGGCCCCCACCTGCTTGATCTTCTCGCGCTGCTCGGCTGCGCTGCCCCCGCCGTTGATGTGGAGGCTCTTCTTGTACATGGCCATGCGCGTCTTGCCCTCACTCCTCTGGATCTTGGGCAGCCGCGCCTTTTCCTGCTGCTGCCGCACCTTCAGCTGCTCTATCATGCGCTGGTTGTAGCGCTGCATCTGCTCCCGCTCCTGGAGAGGAATATCCAGGGGGGCTGGGGTCAGCTGCACTCCGGACTTGGAGTGTGAACACAGGCTAAAGCTCCCCACACTCCACTTAGGGGCCCAGGACCAACGTGGCCCACGATGTTCAACAGAGCAAGGCTTCTGTTATTTTGCTTCTACGCTAATAACATTTTTTTTGTTCTCACTTTAAAAATTCTTGTTAATAATATCTTGGATTCTTACCTTCTAAATGTCTTTTCATCTAATCAATGATGGCATGCCATCATTAGCTAATATCTCAAAGCAAAATGTACACGAAAGGGGATGGTTTCTCACTAGTGATGGCAGATGTGAATTTATATTTTAAAAAACCCTGATACATCTGAATTTTTTCCTTCCCCTAACACCTATTTGTATTTCAAAGCTCAGCATGGGTATCACCTCCTCCAAGAAGCCTTCCCTGATTTCTTCACCTGGTTGGGTAGCCTTATTCTGAACTCCCATGGCCCTATACTGACTTCCATCACTGCATTTAGATAAGAAACTGGAATTATACACAGCTGCTGTGCATCCACTGCATCCAGACCTTGGTTTGTCTGTCACTGTCCCACTATGAAGGCTGAACTGAGACAGACAATTCCTGCAGGAGAGGGTGCTTTGGCCACACAGATCAGGGGCCTTCACCAGCTCTGGGGAGTTCAGGGAAGGCTTCCTGGCAGAGGTGGTGTTTAAGTGGAGACCTAAAAGTATTCTGAAGGAATGCACAAGAAAGAGAGAAACAAAGAGAAAATGGAAAGGGAGGACAAGAGGGAAAAGAAAGAGTAAAAGAAAGACACACCGGGTGGGCGCGGTGGCTCACGCCTGTAATCCCGACACTGTGGGAGGCCGAGGCGAGCAGATCACTTGAGGTTAGGGGTTTGAGACCAGCCTGGCCAACAAAGTGAAAGCCCAACTCTACTAAAAAGAAAATACAAAAATTAGCCGGGCATGGTGGTAAGCACCTGTAATCCCAGCTACCTGGGAAGCTGAGGCAGGAGAATCACTTGAACCCTGGAGGCGGAGGTTGCAGTGAGTCTAGATGGTGCCACTGCACTCCAGCCTGAGCAACAGAGCAAGACTCCATCTCAAAAAAGAAGAAAAAAAAAAGACACACACAGCAAGTAACAGAGTCAGCGAGGGAGCTGCTTGGGCCATCGGCTTCCCTGCATGGTTTGCCCTATTCCTGGTCCCTTGAGCTGAAGCAGGACACCCCTGGAGAACCTCTTGGGGCCTCACTGCAGCCAGCCCTGGGTCCTCTTGGGGGCACTTGTCATCCAAAGTGTGCACCCAAGACGTGCCCCACCACATCCAGCCTCACGGTTCTCCCAGGTCGGCCCGGCAGCAGACCCGAGCCCCACGCCACCGGCAGCCTCACCTTCTCATGCTTGCGCAGCAGCTCATGCCGCTGGAGGAAGTACTGGTCTTTGAGCTGCTGCTTCACCAGCTGGTGCCTCTCCTGCAGCTGGTGCTCCTCCATCTCCCACAGGGCCGCTTCCCGGTCTGCGGAGGACATGCCACACACCTGGTGAGGTGCTGACATCCAGAGAACTGACAGGCCCTCTGCCCCGCTCCTCTGCCTGGCCTCCTCATGCTGGAGATCACCGACCTGCTAGGCTCAGGAATCGCCACATGTGCTACCTCATTAGACCATGTTGGCTGACCTGAGCTGAGGCCTAGAAACTTCCTTTAAACCTAAGGAATGATAGCTCCCAGCAGCATGGTAGAGCACGAAGTGCTCAAAGTCAGGAGCCAGAGAAACTGCAGATACAGGCTGGAACCCAGCTCCATCGGTGGGATTAGGAATGGAGAGGTTCTCCAGGCATCAGCTGCCATCTCTGCCAGATGGACACAGCTATACTATGGAGGGAGGGGACATCCTTGGGAGACACTTTGAAGTGCAGTCCACACTGCATCTCTACTTTCCTGATGCGCACGTGGGAAGGGCTCAGATGCAGACCCCGTGAAGAAGACAGAATGGCCTCCTGTCACTATTTCCTCCTTTGAAAAAATGGGTGAGATCCTCTTGTCCCCTGCATGTCCCATGCATGCATTATGCAGACAATGGCATCTGGCATCTTATCACTGGAGGTCTATTAATCCACCCTTGTGCACAGCACCCGGGTGAGGACATGGAGTCAAAGGGAGAATCTCATGCCCTTCGAGACAGGAGATTATGCTTGGCTCAGTGCAAATGTTGTTTATTTCACTGCATTCCCGTTCCGTGCAAAATGGTATCTGCTTTTGGTATATCAGAATAGTGATTCCGGCTTCCACCCCAAAATCAGAACCACAGTTCCGTAAATAGGGCGGTTCTTAACAACATCATGGGATAGAAAAAGGAAGTGAGGGCTTTTCTCAAAACAACTGTGTTCTATTCAGAATATTGAAAACTCAAGAAGCCCGTTTTGCTGATCCACACCAATTAATAAGAGGTTTATGTTGCTTAACTGCACTGGTCATCAAAGGCCTGGAGGAGGCCTGTTTTATAAGCGAGCCAAAAATGGCCCTGGGATATGGCCTCATGTTGTTTACTTCCTCACAGCAGGCCCGGACCGCCAAAAGTCCACAGGCACCAAATTCAAATGTATAACCATCCTCTGTTATTTCTAAAACATAGTATGTACGGCCAGGCACAGTGGCTCACGCCTATAGACCCAGCATTTTGGGAGGCTGAGGTGGGTAGATTGCTTGAGCCCAGGAACTTGAGACCAACCTGGGCAAAATGGCGAAACCCTGTCTCTACTAAAAATACAAAAATTAGCTGGGTGTGGTGGCGTGCACCTGTAATCACAGCTACTCAGAAGCCTAAGGCATGAGAAGCGCTTGAACAGGGGAGGCAGAGGCTGCAGTGAGCCAGTATTGTGCCACTGCACTCCAGCCTGGGTGACAGAGTGAGACTTGGTCTCAAAAAACAAAAACAAAAACAAAACCCAGGTATATAGCTACAGAAAAAAGCTCAAACAGGGCCGGGCACGGTGGCTCACGCCTATAATCCTAGCACTTTGGGAGGCCGAGACAGGCAGATCACGAGGTCAGGAGATCGAGACCATCCTGGCTAACATGGTGAAACCCCATCTCTACTAAAAATATATAAAAAAGTTAGCTGGGCATGGTGGCGGGTGCCTGTAGTCCCAGCTACTCGGGAGGCTGAGGCAGGAGAATGGCGCGGTGACTCACACCTGTAATCCCAGCACTTTGGGAAGCCAAGGCGGGTGGATTACTTGAGGTCAGGAGTTCAAGACCAGCCTGGCCAACATGGTGAAACCCCATCTCTACTAAAAATATAAAAAATTAGCTGGATGTGGTGGCGCAAACCTGTAATCATCCCAGCTATGAAGGAGGCTGAGACAGAAGAACTGCTTGAACCTGGGAGGTGGAGGTTGCAGTGAGCCAAGATTGTGCCACTGCACTCCAGCCTGGATGACACAGTGAGACTCCATCTCCAAAAAAAAAAAAAAAAAAAAGTTCAAACCAAGCAGATATTTAGCCATTTGGAGCCTGCCTACTTTGCATATCGCATGAAACTGCACCTGCCGGGCACGGTGGCTCATGCCTGTAATCCCAGCACTTTGGGAGGCCGAGGCGGGTGGATCACAAGGTCAGGAGATCGAGACCATGGTGAAACCCCGTCTCTACTAAAAAATAGAAAAAATTAGCCGGGCGTGGTGGCGGGCGCCTGTAGTCCCAGCTACTCAGGAGGCTGAGGCAGGAGAATGGCGTGAACCCGGGAGGCGGAGCTTGCAGTGAGCCGAGATTGCGCCACTGCACTCCAGCCTGGGCGACAGACCGAGACTCCGTCTCAAAAAAAAAAAAAAAAAAAAAAGAAACTGCACCTAACATCTGCTAGCCATAGAGAAAAGAGACCCAAGGGCTCCAGAAAGACCCCAAGCCACCGCTGCCCTTTGCAGTTTTCTGATCTAGAGATGCCCCATCTGAGCTCCCCACGCTGGACGACATCATCTAGACATGTGAGCCCCCTCTCAGGTCCCCTTCTTGCCCAAGAGTTCCTTTGCCTTCTTCCCCTGCTGGATGGTGGCCCGCACTGTCATCTCTAGAAGGCCTCATTCTGTAAGGGACCCACCCCCTCAGCGGGTAAACCTGTCAAAATGCCCCCCAAGCAAAGCTGCTTGTATGCTACTGCCATCTTGTGGTCATTTATTTTTTTCTCAATCAGCCCTGAAATGCCCAGCTTCCTGATATTGTCATCCAAGGCCCAGCTCTATCACCCATTAACTGTGCAACCTCAGTGCTACGATCTGAACGTTTCCGTCCCCTCCAAATGTATATGTTGAAATCTTAACCTCTGAGGTGAGGGTATTAGGAGGTGGGGCCTTTTGGGAGGTGATTAGGTCACAAGGGTGGAGCCCTCGTGAATGGAATTAGTGCCTTTTTATTAATAAAAGAGACCCCAGGCCGGGCACGTTGGCTTATGCCTGTAATCCCAGCACTTTGGGAGGCCGAGGCAGGCAGATCACTTGAGCCCAGGACTTTGAGACCAGCCTGGACAACATAGAAGACCCCATTTATACAAAAAACACAAAAATTAGCCAAGTGTGGTAGCACATGCCTGTAGTCCCAGCTACCTGGGAGGCTGAGGTGGGAGGACTGCTTGAGCCTCAGAGGCAGAGGTCACAGTGAGCCATGACTGTGCCACTGCACTCCAGCCTTGGCCACAGAGCAAGACCCTGTCTCAAAACAAAACAAAACAAAAAAACCAAAACACTACAAAACCCCAAAAACCCAGAGACCCCAGAACCGGTCTCCCTCCGCTCCGCTGTGTGAGGATACAGCGAGAAGCCAGAGACCCCAGAGCCAGTCTCCCTCCGCCGTGTGAGGATACAGCGAGAAACCAGGGACCCCAGAGCCCGTCCCCCTCCGCCGTGTGAGGATACAGCGAGGAGCCAGGGACCCCAGAGCCCATCTCCCTCCGCTGTGTGAGGAGACAGCGAGGAGGTGCCATCTATGAAGCACAGAGTAAGCCCGCCCCAGACCACATATGTGCTGGCACCTTGACTGCGGATTTCCCAGCCTCCAGAAGTGTGAGAAACGAACGTCTGTTGTTGATAAGCCACCCAGTCAGTGGTATTTTGTTAGAGCAGCTGAATGAACTAAGATACTTGGCCAAAGAATAGTAACTCTCCAGGCCTCAGTTTCCTCATCTACAGAAATGGGGATAACCCAGGCCCTGCCCCACAGTGTTAGGTGAGGATTCGGTGAGATAAAGGTGGAAAAATGGACTGGCACGTGGCCTGGCAGACTGGTTGCTCAGTCCCTGCCAAGCTGTCTCCACCTCCCGTAAACCCAGCTCACTGATTAACCTACTCTATGCCTGTTCCTTTCTCCTCTTGACTTCTGGAATAATGTCAAATAGTCTTGGTGACAACTGGTATCCTTGCCTCGTTCCTTACTTCACTGGGGGTTTTCCCCAGGTTTCACCATGAAGGATGATGTTTAGTTGTGGGGATGGAGAAGGCCTGGGAGGTTTTTCTTGCCCACCCCACTTCCCAGGGCTGGGATGTCCACAGCGACTCTGGGCCAAGACAGCGCTGCCACTCGTACGCCCCCACCTCGAAGCAGCTCCTGCTTCTTCATGAGGCACTCGCGCTCCTTGCCACAGATCTCCCGCCTGTTGTCGGTGGTGAGCCTCTTCATGGCCAGCTCCAGGTCCTCCTTCTGCTTGGCTACAAAGTCCCGGTCCTGTGGGGAGAGAGGAGGACAGGCCTTTATCCAGAGCTGGCTTGGGCACCTCAATGTCTCTTCCTATTATGGAAGAAAAGCCTGCGTGATCAGAGAAGAAAATTCAGAAACAGAAAAGAAACTGGTGGAGGGGAAATTTAAGAGAGACTTAGAGACACATCAACCAATTTCAACACGTGGGCTTCATCTGGATCCTGGATCAAAGAATTTTTTTTTTTTTTTTTTTTTTTGAGACGGAGTCTCAGTCTATCACCAGGGCTGGAGTGCGGTGGCACAATCTCGGCTCACTGCAATCTCCGCCTCCCAGGTTCAAGCGATTCTCCTGCCTCAGCCTCCTGAGTAGCTGGGATTACAGGCATGCACCACCACACCTGGCTAATTTTTGTATTTTTAGTAGAGACAGGGTTTCACCATGTTCGCCAGACTGGTCTCGAACTCCTGACCTCGTGATCTGCCCGCCTCAGCCTCCCAAAGTGCTGGGATTACAGGCTGAGCCACTGTGCCTGGCCGTTTTTTTTTTTTTTTTTTTTTTTTTAAGGATGACATTCATGAAACAATTGTAAATGGGAATACTGACAATATTATGTTGTTCAGCAATTATGGTTGAATTTGCTGGGTGTGTTTATGGTATAGTAGTTATTTCTCTGATGTTTGACAGGTAAAATAATATGATGTCTGGGATTTGATTAAAAATAATACCTTGGGGTCAGGAAGTGAATGAGTGGGCATGAGGTGACATTACTGAGATTAGGTGATAGGCATATGGTGGTTCATTATGCCATTATACCTATTCCTATGTTTCTTTTCTTTTCTTTCTTATATTTATTTATTTATTTATTTTTTGAGAGAGAGAGTCTCGCTCTGTCACCCAGGCTGGAGTGCAATGGCATGATCTCGGCTCACTGCAACATTGGCCTCCCAGGTTCAAGTGATTCTCCCATCTCAGCTTCCTGAGTAGCTGGGACTACAGGTGCGCACTACCACGTCCGGCTAACTTTTGTATTTTTAGTAGAGATGGGGTTTCACCATGTTGGCCAGGCTGGTCTTGAATTCCTGGCCTCAAGTGATCTGCCCACCTTGGCCTCCCTCTTCCTATGTTTTTAATTTTCCATAATAAAGAGGAAAAAATTAAAATAAAAAAATTTAGAAACCACAGAATTAGTAAAACTCTCCACCTATCCTATCACCCAGAGTTGGCAACTGTGGTATGTCTATACAAGTGTATCTATAGCTATTGTTATTGTTGTGTTACAAAAATTATTAAAAAGGGCTCAAACAGATTATGTGAGCACCTAAGTTCACAGCAGCATTATTCACAATAGTCAAGGGATGAAAACAGCCGACGTGTCCGTCCACAGATAAATGGATAAACATCATGTGTTATATCCATACAATGGAATATTATTCAGCCTTAAAAAGGAAAGAAATTCTGACACATGCAACAACATGGATGAACCTTGAGGACATTACACTAAGTGAAATAAGCCAATCACAAAACGACAAATATTCTATGATTCCACTTATATGAAGTACCTAGAATAGTCAAATTCATAGCGAAAGCAGAATAAAGTTAGCAAGGGTTGGAGGGGAAGAAACGGAGAGTTATGGTTTGATGGGTGCAGAGTTTCAGTTTTACAAGATGAGAGAGTTGTGGGGATAGATGGTTGGTGGTGATGGCCGCACAGTGAGAACGTGCTTAACACCACTATGTTGTACACTTAATAATGGGAAAGATGGTAAATTTTATGTTATGACTATTTTACCACAATTTTAAACAATTATTTTAAAAAATCTTTCCATGTTATAATGTGATCTTCTGGCCAGGTGCAGTGGCTCACGCCTGTAATCCCAGCACGCCGAGAGGCTGAGGCAGGCGGATCACCTGAGGTCAGGAGTTCGAGACTAGCCTGGCCAACATGGTGAAACCCTGTCTCTACTAAAAATACAAAAATTAGCCAGGTGTGGTGGCATACACCTGTAGTCCCAGCTACTTGGGAGGCTGAGGCAGGAGAATTGCTTGAACCCTGGAGGCGGAGGTTGCAGTGAGCTGAGATTGTGTCACCACACTCCAGCCTGGGCAACAGAGTGAGACTCCATCTCAAAAAAAAAACAAAAACAAAAAAAACAAAAACACTGTGATGAAACTCCCACTTTTGAAACTCCATGTCAAATAAATAAATAATGTGATCTTCTATCATATGTGTTTCAATGGCTGAAAAATTTCATGCTTTGGATGTTATTTATCCAATAAACAACACGGTGTTTCCAGGTGTTATGTATTTTTAAAGTAGTGCTACTTCATATTCTGGTAGTTAAGTGTTTGTGAACCTCTGTGATAACTCCTTCAGGATTTTTAGATTCCCTCAGGATTTCTAGAAGCAGAAAATCCAAGCCAAAGGATGTGCGTATCTTCAAAGCTCTCCATGCAACTGCCTCCTCCAGGCCACACCATCTACTGTCCCTCTGCGTGGACGAGGGCCTGTGTGCCCCGCCTCACCAGTCCGCAGTCTCTTCCTAATCGCGCTGTAACGGGACAGCTCATGGGGCGTTCCAGAGAGAACACAAGCTTGAGGCCTCGACCCCCTCCCCGACTGTGAACTTAGCAATGTCACCTCTCTCAGTCTTTGTTTCCTCTTCTGTGAATGGGAAAATGAACAGCTCCTACCATGGTAAGCTATGAACGCTGAACCAGGTAATACAGAAAGCATTTGTAAATGTGGACTCAAAGATTCTCTGCTTTGGAGGCTGAAGAAGCAGAGCACACAAAGACCCCCTCGTGGGGAAAATGGGAGCATTCCGGCACGGGATGAAAAGAAGGCTGGGGAGGCCAGCCAGGGCACAGCAAAGAGGCAGCGCTTATCTTAGGGACAATGCGGGAGCCACTGAAGGCTTTTAAGTCACAGGGCTGTGGGGGAAAGGGTGCTGTTATCAGACTTGGAATTCAAACTGCTCACACCTGCAGGCAGGAGAAAAGAAACTGCAGGGGAAAAACAGCAACAGGAAGCCTCGCTGGGAGGCCACTGGACAGTGGCTGGGGGGTCATGGAGATGGTGACAAGTTGATAGATCCAGAGACAGGAGATAAGAAATATACATACCATGCTTCAGGAGGTGATGAAGGACTGGAGGGAAAGGAGGGGACAGGAATGATGGGCCAGAAAGGAAGGAAAATGGCACCCTTCAGAGCATGACACGACCAGGTCTGGGACATCATGAGTTTGATGTCCTTTAGACTTAAAAGATGCCAAGAGGGCAAGGGAATATACTGGATTAGTCAAGGAGATGTGACTTACAAATAACCCTAGAACAAGGTAGGAGGTGCTAAGGGTTTGGGAGGATGGTCAATGTAAAGTGTTGGGGTATCCAGAGATGGAAGAGCTCACTTCCAGCTGGAGGCGAGGCAATCAAGGAAGGCTGCATGGAAGAGGGGATAATGGGGCCATGAAGGATGAGGCTAGATTTAGGTATTCAGAACAGGGCATTTGAGGGGCAGTGACTGGGCAAAGGCAGAGAGGAGGCCTGGTCACCATTCCAGGTCTCACACCAGTCCCTGCACTCCCCAGCTGAGGCCAGGGACTCACAAGAAGCTGCTTTTTCTGCGTATGCTCCTCCATCTTTTGCTTCATGCTCTCCTTCCGCTGCTGTCGGGGGAGCTTCTCCACCTCGTTCTTCACCTGCAACAGAGACAGCAGAGCGGGGCTGGGTCAGGGTCCTCTCCATGCTTCCTGCAGTATATTCTTCAACCCAGAACTCCTGGGCCAGAGATTGAGGAAGAGGCTCAGCGTTGCAAGGGCCAGCACCCTATGCGGCTCCCACCAAACCCCTCTGAGCAGGTGCCTCCCACTGGCCTACTCCTGCCTGCTGCTGGTTTCAGCTTCCAACTCCCCTAGAGTGGGCAGGTGCAGTTTCCAGCTGCGTGGTATCCTCCCTCCTCTTCTGGGAACAGCGCCCAGCTTCCTGCAGGGCAGTGTTTCTCCACCTTCTTAAAAAATGACAGTCCCCACAGAAGTTCTTTTAGACATTTTTTCCTAATCCCTCTCCCCCCATGAAATTAGTCCAACAGACAATACTGTCGATCTGATAAACCATTGTCACATCTCAGGTATTTGGCTTCCTTTGCAGTAATATTAGCCTGGCTGAGAATGCACATCTTTTGTTTTTTTGAGATGGAATCAAGCAATTCTCCCGCCTCAGCCTCCCAAGTAGCTGGGATTACAAGTGTGCGACACCACACCCGGCTAATTTTTGTATTTATAGTAGAGATGGAGTTTCACCATGTTGGCCAGGCTGGTCTCAAACTCCTGACCTCAAGTGATCTGCCTGCCTTGGCCTCCCAAAGCGCAGGGATTACAGGCGTGTGCCACTGCGCCCGGCCGAGAATGCATACTTTAGTATCCCCCTTGTCAGTCCCTGAGGTCCAGGTGAACTGACACCCCTACCCCCACTGGCCCTGGGCTGAGCATCTGATCCAGGCTGGCCAAGCAGCACATTCCATGCCCTTAGCCTCAGGAACTGATTCAGAGAGAAGCACGTGACCCTCACGGGTCCAGTGCGAACTTTGGGACGTTGCTGGAACGACTGAAGGAAAGCTACCTGCTGTCCTCTGGGGTTGTTAAACTGGGGGGATGAAGGCCAAGGTGCGTCACCTTGTCAGCCCTGGAGGGGACTGCCTGAGATGAACTCGATGCAGGGAAGCAATGCCAAGAGAGGAGAAAGAAGAATTCCCGCCAACACTCCTGCCCTCCTGGCCAGACGCCAGCAAGCATTCTTTCGTCCTTCAGCCGGCTGGGATCGGGTTTCTGTCTTTTGTGACAGGAGGGAGAAGAGATCCATGACACTTCTCTCTAAGGACCCCGGACTTCCTCAGACATTTCCTTCCCAAGAAACCCACACCTTTACCGGTGCCTAATAACCCAAAACCTGCACTGACAGAGGGCTCTTAGGAGCATCTGATGGGGGGAAAGGCCTGCCTGTGAGCAAAAAAAGAACATTCTGGGGAGTTCTGGCATGGTGAGGTAAGCCAAGACAGGCTGTATCTCCTAATAATTACAGTGAAAACACTGCATCAAATATGAAAGTAACTACTTGAGGACTCTGAAAACCAAACAAAAGCAGGTGACATGAAGGGGAGTCTAAATTTGCAGACAAGACTGGTAGAGGGGATAAGTTTCCTATTTTTTTTTTCCATCCTTTTGCTCTCCTGGGTTTGCACCAATCCCAGACCTGCCCAGTGGTGCAGTAGAAAAGGTGGCTAAAACTCCATAAGAAACCTTGTATTTCTGGCCAGAGAACCAGGAAAAGAGGCCTGCGGAGTCCAGTGAGTATGGGATGAATCCCAAAGAGAAAGGCACAGAAGGCCAGGCGTAGTGGCTCACACCTGTATTCCCAGCACTTTGGGAGGCCAAGGAAGGTGGATCACTTGAGGTCAGGAGTTCAAGACCAGCTTGGGCAACATGGTGAAACCCCATCTCTACTAAAAATATAAAAATTAGCTGGGTGTGGTGGCACATGCCTGTAATCTCAGCTCCTCGAGAAGGAGGCATGAGAATCACTTGAACTGAGGAGGTGGAGTCTGCAGTGAGCTGAGATCGCACCACTGAACTCCAGCCTGAATGACAGAGCGAGACTCCGTCTCAAAAAAAAAGAGAAGAGCACAGGAAAAGGGAAATTCCTAATTCTGTGTGTAAACACAGAGATTCACCCCTGAGCTAAGCATGAGTCAGACAGGTGCCAAGCAGTATAGCAAAAAACCAAAGAAGAAAAGACCTAACTAAGACTGAAACCACTACCCACAGAAGATCAGACAGAACCTGTGGTCTACAGGGTTTCCTGTTAAACAAAAAACATCTACATTCTCCAAAAGATTATAATACAGACCCACAGTCTACAGACCATAACACTAAAATATCAAGGATAGGCAGGCACAGTGGCTCACGCCTGTAATCCCAGCACTTTGGGAGACTGCGTGGATCACCTGAGCTCAGGAATTCGAGACCAACCTGGGCAACATGGCAAAACCCCATCTCTACAGAAAATATTAATACAAAAAACTAGCTGGGTGTGGTGCCAGTGCACCTGTAGTCTCAGCTACTCAGGAGGCTGAAGTGGGAGGATCACTTTAGCCCAGGAGCTTGAGGCTGCAGTGGGCTGTGACTGCACCACTGCACTCCAGCCTGGGCAACAGAGCAAGAAGCAAGACCCTGTCACTAAATAAATAAATAAATAAATAAAATGTCAAGGAAACAATAAAAAATTACTCTGCATACAAAGAACCAGGAAATAGAACCAGTTTTCAAAGAAAAAGACAATCAGTGGGTATCAGCTCTGGGATGATACAGATGTTGACACAAAGAAACTTCAAAGCAGCTACTATAACTATACTCCATGAGCTAAAGCCCTTTAATATTTCAAATATGGAAAGATGAAAGTTCACAGCACAGAAAAACTATTTTTTTTTTTTTTGAGACAGGGTCTTGCTCTGTTGCCCAGCCTAGAGTGCAATGGTGCAATCTCCGCTCACTGCAACCTCCACCTCCTGGGCTCAAGTGATTCTCCTGTCTCAGCCTCCAGAATAACTGGGATTACAGGTACCCAGTTATTTGGGTGCCTGGCTAATTTTTGTATTTTTAGTAGAGACGGGGTTTCACCATGTTGGCCAGGCTGGTCTTGAACTCCTGACCTGAAGTGATCCACCCGCCTTGGCCTCCCAAAGTGCTGGGATTACAGGCGTGAGCCACCATGCCCAGCCAGAAAAACTATTTTTTAAAAATTGAAAAATTTAAAACTAAACAATAGAATGTCTGAGATTAAAATAAAACAATAGCAGAATGGTGATCACAGAGGAGGGTCATTAATTTGAAGACTAATTAATAAAGAGTATATAATCTGAATGACAGAGAGGAAGAAAGATGAAAAAGATGAAGGTTTCAGGGACTTATGAGAAAATTATCAAAAGCTCAATGAAACCCAAACAGGTTAAATTAAAAGAAAACCACCCTCATATATATCATAATAAAACTTGAAAACCAAACTAAAAAAATTCAGGAGAGTATTTAAGAGAAATGTGACATTTTAACACAGGAAAATCATGACTCCAGTGACCATGGATTTCCCAACAGACGCCAGGGAGGCCAAAAGCCACTGGAGTATCATCCTTAAAGTGCTGAAAGAAGGGCCGGGCACAGTGGCTTATGCTTGTAATCCCAGCACTTTGGGAGGCTGAGGCGGGTGGATCACAAGGTCAGGAATTCAAGGCCAGACTGGCCAAGATGGTGAAACCCCGTATCTAGTAAAAATATTTTAAAAATTAGCCAGGCGTGGTGATGGGCGCCGGTAATCCCAGCTACTCAGGAGGCTGAGGCAGAGAACTGCTTGAACCCGGTAGGCACAAGTTGCACTGAGCTGAGATCACACCACTGCACTCCAGCCTGGGTGACAGAGCAAGACTCCATCTCAAAAAAAAAAGTACCAAAATAAAAGAACAGGAAGAATAGGTATGTCTAATGGAACTATCCTTCAGAAATGAAAGCAAAATAAAGACATTTTCAGATGAAGGAAAGTAGGAAACTTTGTGGTCGGGAAGAAAGGCTACATTGGAAGTTCTTCAGGTTAAAAAGAAGTGAGCTAAGGAGAAAACTTGTATCTTCAGTAAAAAAGAAAGAGTGACAGAAATGGTAAATATCTGGATAAACACAGTGAACAATTTTCCCCTTAAGATCTTTAAAATCTCAATGACCATTTAAAGCAAAAGTTGTCACATTGTCTGGTATGGTTTTTAATATATGTAGATGTAATACATTATCCGTGATAGGCCAGGTGTGGTGGCTCAAGCCTGTAATGCCAGCACTTTGGGAGGCTGAGGTGGCCAGATTGCTTGAGGCCAGGCAAGACCAGCCTGGCCAACATGGTGAAACCCTGTCTCTAGGTATGAGAAGTGCTTGAACCCAGGAGGCAGAGGTTGCAGTGAGCAGAGATCATATCATTACACTCCAGCCTGGGTGACACAGCAAGACTCGGTCTCAAAAAAAAAAAAAAGGCCAAAAATGTGACAATTATAACAAAACTGAGAAAGTATCAAGAAATTTACATGCTTGTAAAGGTACATTTTACTTAAAGAATTACAATATCAACTCTAAATAGATGCTGAGATAGGTATGTATATTATAACGCCCCAGAGCAACCATTAAACACACACACACACACACAAACACACACACAAAGATAAACTAATTCGTGAAGTTAAAAATATTCAAATACTCCAAAAGGAGGTAGGAAAACGGGGAAGAGAGGAACAAAAACCAAAGGAGACAAAACAGGTAATAATTTAATTAAATATAAATGGCATAAACACGTCTATTAAAAAACAAAGATTTTCAGATGGGATTAAAAAAATGAAAGCACAACTATATGCTGTCAACAAGAAATGCATGTTAAATATAAAGATTTAGATAGGTTAAATTGAAAGGACAGGAAAAGATACTGTATGCAAATACTTATCAAAAGAAAGTAGGATTGGCTATTGATTAGACAAGGCAGACTTCAGAACAAGGAATATATTATCAGGAATAATGATGGGCATTATATAATCATAAAAGGAAGAGTCAGTTCACTAAGAAAGTATGACTATTTTAGGCTTAGCTAAAGTCTAGGAGGCTGAGGAGGATCACTTGAGCCC